GTTCTCTGTTCTGCTCCGCCGGCCTGCTGGGCTCTTTCCTAGCTTAGGAGTGTCATTATGTTTTCTTTCCTTAAAACATCCATTTATACACTTTGGCACAAAGCGCTTCTGTGCCGAACAAAACTTTAATTGTTGATTCGCAAACACTTCCAGAAAATGGAACAAAATCCGGGGGTACTTGCGCTCCGCACCTCACCCCGCCCCAGTCCCACGGCCCGCTTCTCGCTCCCGGCCCCGCAGCCCCGGCGCCTCGGCCAGGGAGCCCACCCGTCACTCCCCGGTGATGAACGGATCCCCACGTGGTCGGGGACGCAGGCACCAGGCTGGGAAAGCCGCCCTTGGCACTGGCTGGAGAACAAAGACACATCCGTTCTCCATGACCTCCGACTCCATATATAGAAATTATCCAGAGATGACCTATCAGGGCTTGTACTGGGAGTCCCGAGACCAGGCTCGCAGCCGCAACGGATCTGCCTTAAAGGGAAACATCCTTTTTTCTACAAATACTCCTGGAGGGCTGTAGGCAGTACGGGACCTGTGAGCAGGACTCGGCGCATCCTGTCCTGTCTGACGCTTGTGCAATGTCCACGTGTTGAGCTTATGTTTAAGACAGGGTCCAACAACACCATCAACATACTACCGTCAGCCCTAGAACGGTCCAGAAGCGGCTATCTAGTGCTGCTCAGACTGTGAAAGTCTATGTGTCATGCTTCCCCTTTGCTGAATCAAAAGTGGCACTAATACCTGTGACAGGATATCTTCACTAAAGTGAGTATAGAGGGCAGGTGACCCCAGTAAGCTGGTAAGCTCGCACTGCATCCGGGTCACTGGTGAAGCCAGATGGCTCTTGGGGTTTGGTGGATGCTGCAGGCCAGGTGGTGGCAAGCCCGGAGAGTTTAGTATCAGGATGTGACCTAGGGCTCACTGTCATGTTCTGTGTTCTCACTGCGACTCTCTAACATGTCAGTCGGAATCATTTACTGCTTCCCTTGAGGGTTCTGCTTGAGGTTGATTATCCCCACTCTGGGAAGCAGTTTATCACCCTGTCCGCCACCCCCACCCAACTTCCCCCAGTCCCTCCTCCCAGCCATCCAGGCTCTGAGCAAATGTAAAGACAGGCAGGGGCGACGCCATGTTGCTGCTCTGACCAGGAGGGCAGCTGACAGACACTAGACGTCAGCCTGGTGACCAGCTCGGAGGGCAGGAGGGGCGTTTCCACCAAGCTTCGCTGTGGGGAGCAGGCCCAACTAACTGGCCAGAGACAGGCGCACCCCGTGCCGACTGCGCCAGCTCAGGGCAGAAGCTTTGGGGGCAGGCACAGATCAAGAGCATTTGGCCTGCCGTGACAGGACTGGGAAGGAAACGTCTTTGGGGACATTCATGATTCCCCCAAAATTTGTGCAACAAAACTTTTCTTTTGAGCTTGAACATCTCGAAAGAAAAAAATAGCTTTCACATTTCAACTGTGGAATTCATTTCACTGCTAGAACAAATCCGCTTGCCTTTGTCTTCGTCCTGGTAGAACAAAGGTATATCAACGTCCCTAGCAACCAGCCACCACCACCCCCGGGCTTATACGATGATACCCTCCAGGCCGCTGGACCTGGGAGCGGTGTCAGGGCCTCCTGTAAGCTGGGTCCAAACGACCCCTACCAAACACTAGAGAAGAAAAGGCAAACTTCACAAAGGCTGGTGCCCCGATAGGGGGCTATGGAGACTTGCAGAGAAGACACAGAGTCCCGCAGGCCCCTAGTTATCTCTGGGGATCTCTATTCTCCCTCTGACTTAGCACCCTAAGTGTGGCGCTGGAATCCACGGCCACCACTGTGCCTCAGTGCCGGGCTGGCTACTGTGCATTCGGTTCAGGCCGACCAACGGTCATGGCCGCCTCCCAGCCCCCGCCCCGTGCTTGCGTTAGGGGTGCGAGACTGGCAGGACACGCCCCCGACCTCCGGAAGCTTGCAGTCACATGGACGGGAAGGCGAGCGAGCAGACAAACACGAGGCAGTTTTTTTGAAATGCGAAGAAACGTAAGAAAGTGCTACATGATCAGAGATCAATGAGAAGTCGATCCTAACTGGGGAAGTCAAGGCAGAGGTGGCATTTGGGGGGACTCCTTGGGTTAAGGAGACATTTCCTGGGCAGACAGAGCAAGCGGGGTCCCAGTCTGCGAAAGAACAGGGTGACTAAGAACTTAGAGCAGATGGGATTTCATGATTGACTAATGAAAATTAAAATTCCTACCATGTCCCCAGATATGTGAGGTGTAAAATTTCAAAATTTCAAGGACAAATAACTAGGCCAATTCAAGGAGACGCCGAGAGCATGTTCCCTGGGCCTGGGACCCCACCGTCTCGGGGACACACGCTGTCCTGGACAGTGAGGGACAGGAGGCTGTCGTAAGGAAGGTGACGTAGGCGACATCTGTGCTGGAGCGCCCTTCCCTTCCCCCCACCTATGAAAGAGAAGGATGACAAAGGCCTAGGGGTGGGGGGTGCCACTTCTTTTATTTCAAGCCCCACCGTGGGGTCTATGACTTGCTGGGGACACAGCAGCATAGGTCTGGCATCTGAAGCCGCGTGCAGGGGTGAGCGCTGCCCGGGGAGGCACAGGAGGGCTGTTCGCCGAGCGGACCTACAATTGCAGGGCTTGTGTTGGGGGCCGTGTGACAGCTCTTACGGGTCAGATGTGGCCGTGGTCAGACGTGGCCGCGGTCAGATGCGGCCGTGGGGGAAAGGGCCCGGTTCGGAAGTCTCTGAGACCCTGCCCGGGGCAGAGGCGTGCAGCCCCAGGCCTAAGGCCAAGGGAAGAGCTATGAGTAACCCCAAACCAGGGGCTCTGTCTCATAAGTGGGCTGCAGGCTGGGCAGGGGTCTCCAGCCACACAAGCCTCAGAAGACAAGACAGCACTCCCTGAGAGGAAGGTCACAGTCCAACAGCCAGTTACAACGAGAGGTGAGGGGCAGCAGGAGGAGGCGAGATCGAGGCCTAGGTCTGAGATGCCATGTTGACAGCTATCGGGGCCACAGAGGACGAAAGCCCAGCCACGCAGTGTGGGGTCCTAGCGGCAGGGGGTAGGGGGGCCGGGTAGGCTGTGTGCACTAAACACCCCCTTGCAAAGAGGATCGTGGCCCAACATTGGCACTAAAGGGGGTGAGAACCGTCCCCCGAGAATCTGTGAACACAAGCAGCCCTTACACAGCTATGACCTGCATTCGCTCACTCTCGATAATCTAAAACAACAAAAACTCAAGCCGAGAACTTAGAAGGGTCTCAAATGGTTCTTACTCCAGGTTCCTAGCAGAAACCGACATCAGACCCAGGCTTCGAAGAATTCCTCGGATGTCCCCAGGATCATGAGCTCACAGTCGCTGAACACGGTTCACAAGGACACGGTGTATCAGCAGAGCCAGCGAGACGACGGGCCACGGAATCAGACATGTGACGTCTGCCTGCTGGACTCATCAGACGTAGAATACAAAATCATCACATCTATTTTGTTTAAAGGAACAAAAGGAAGAAAGGAAAATATGACTGAAGAACGAGAGACTCTAAAAGTGACCCAGAAAATAGAAAAATGAACAAAATACCTCTGGAAATGAAAAGATGCAGCACTGGACACGAAACAGACACGGCTGAACATAAAGTCTCTGTCACACAGCAGATCCATGCACTGAGGACAGTGGGGACCCGGGACACTGTGCCACGTTTGCGAGAAGGAATGTATATCAGAAAGTGACAGGTCTTGAGATAAGTCTCCACCTGCTGTTCTGATGGTGACTTGATTTGTGCTGAAATTCTCTGAGCCTCTAGAACAGGCTCTCAACTGAAGGTGACTTTGTCCCCCAAGGGACATTGGGCAATATCTGGGGACATTTTTGGCTGTCAGAACTGGGGGGGACAGAGGGGTGCTACTGGCCAGGGATGCTGGAGATTCCACGGTGCGCGGGATGGGTCCCCAACGAAGGACGACCCCCCGCCCCAGGCCACGAAGAGGGCGGACAGGCAGGGAAGGGGACGGGAGAAACCTGTCCTGCTTTTCTCACAAGACTGTCACCTACAGAAACAGCAATTCCGAGCAGATCAACCGATGACGTGGAAGCGCTCTGCGAACTGTCAAGGGCTCGACAAGTTATTTACTAAAATCCTAGAGTTTCACATAGGAAATGAATGCCAACTGGGAAAGGAGCAGATGCCCGAGTCCCAGCTGTTTTACTGGAACGCCCTCTCCGTGAGACGGCACTGCCTGTGTGCGGCCCCGCCACCCGCCCCGCCGCCCAAACGCGGACGCCACTCCTCATTCCCGCGTCCAGCGGAACTCGGACTTGTCGAGGACACCTCCTAAGTCCTGCT